TGTCACCCGTTTGTTTGTGTGTGTATGTGTCGGATTATCGCAGCATCTCAATCACCAACATAAAGCTCCAATAAGAGGCATTGAGGCAATCAATCGATAAGTGCCGAAAGAGGCAGGAGATTCAATGAGGGAAAGCGGTGCTTGACGGGGACAAATTCACGCAGTGTCACAGTGCGTCAGTAAATATTAAGTGTAAAATGAGCATACCTTATCGCCGTCGGCGGCGTCTTCATTCAAATCGAACATGGCTGGGTTTCAAGAGGGAAACTGCGCTCTTTGGCTGTCTTTTTCTGGTGCGCAATTGGCGGACTTGTTTGTACTTGTGCGACGCCGGTGGTCGTCAGCAGACAGAGTCGAAGTCAATTAGATATCAATATTTGCTGGCTTACTTCTTCTCCTTAACCAAGGCTAAGTGCAGTTTGCTATACCAGCCACTTGCTGAGAGGCGGCGGCGGTGGAGGTTTCGACGGAAACACGCAAAGTGCAACGATGCTGTGTGTTGATGTATTCAAGTGAAGAGTCTCAGTCGCGAGGCAAATGAGATCAGTTGAGACGATGGTAAAAGCAATTTATAGCAAAAAGAAGAAGAAGAAGGAGCGGGGGAAGAAGATGGTTCGAGCAAGCACGAACAACCAGAAGTGGCAGTCTGTGTTGTAGCTTTGTTGTTTTCACTGGTGCGGCAAAACGACCAGTGTGTACACGACTTTTTGTGGGACTGTACTGCTACAGCTGCAACTGTCGTACTGCGGCAATCTTTGAATTCAGAGCAGGCAGCAAAGTCGGTGGTTTCTTATCAACGGCCACAGCAGTGGTAGTAGTTAAAGCTGAAAGCGAAAGGCCAATGAGCAGGGAAGGAGTATGAAAGTAGGAGGCGGTGATGGTGCTGGTGCTGGAGAAGACTAGAGAAGTTGGAGGGAAGTGCACAGACTGCTGCTACCACTGGTGAGGCACACAATTAAGCAGTGAAGAGAGAATTCGGTTATATTTGGCAATGTTTGGGTGTGCGTGTCTGCTGATGGTGTTTGCCCACCATGCGGCGATCCCCGATCTGACTGACTGGATGGCTGGCTGAATGAGAATGCATCAGCACATTCTGTGGTTGTCAGTGCACCCGGCAGACAGACAGCTGACTGCGCACCAGAGAGGACTGAAGATCGGAGCGCGCTTTTGCGCTCTCTGCGTCTGAGTTCAGTTGGATCAGAGCGCGCGCGCGTTCTAAGAACGACTACGACTGCGATGACTACTAATCACACTCACAAGTCAGTGTTCAGTGAGCTCAAGGAGGCTTGAGGCAATGGACGAGGTGCAAACTAACTGCTGCAACGCACACACACACATTTGCTTTTTACACCTACTTCTAATGTTGCAGCGTACTTCACGGCCACCAGAAGGATCGTCGACGGCAGTGGCGAGTGGCGGACGCAATCACCGAATCAGTGATGAAGGGTTGGGACTACTACTGCTGCTGCTGCCGTTGAGGATGATGATGGCAGTGGTGGTGGTAACAGTGTGGACGGCGATGATGATGGGCCGTTGACGTCGCATTGTCGCCTGTGCATCTGCTGATATTGCCTCTGCTGTTTTCAGCAGTCACGCTGAAGTAGTCTGCATTGCATAACGACCCTAATATCATTCCTGCACCAATAAACACAACAAATTCGTCTGTAGTGCTCGCACTGGCACTGGTGCCCCCAGCAGACAGACTGCTAGGATAGTAGTTTATGTGCCAGTGCGAGTGCGCCCAGTGCCACTTTGACTGCTGCTGCCTTCCTTTGATGACAATTAATGCGGCAGTATATAGAGCAATCAGACGAAGAGGGAAACGGTGTTATGTCTGCCACTGCTGTTGCCGCTGCTGATCTGCTGGCTATTTAGTTAGGGATTACCAACACCAACACTGCCACCGTCGACCGCTGCGGTCACAGCTGGCGCATCGATGACTCATCGGCACCGGAAAATAGACCGGGGACTAAGCGGGAAATGAATCAGCTCTCAACGTGAAGCTTTTTTATTTAATATTTACAAAGAATGTGCAGGCACTAGGGCGGTAAAATGAAATAGAAAGCAAGTGTACAAGTTTAGAGCATGCAGAAATCTGAACACCGAGTGTGACCAGAGTGGTCAGTGAAATAAATTAATTAAGAGTTTAAAAAATTGGTTCAGTAATAAAAGTAATAAAACCGGGCAAATAATAAATTAGGTAAAAAGCGTGAAGATAAACTTTTAAAAAGCAACAATTGAGGCACGTAAAAATATCACTCGTAAAAGAAGAAGAAGCTTTCGTCGAGATTCACACAAAAAGGTCAAGACAGGATGCGCAAAAAGTTGATCACTGGTTGCATGACGGTAGGTGGTTGTGGTGGTGGGCTGTTGTGGTGATACATCACATGGCTACTTTCGGCTCGCAGTAATAACGACCTGCACAAAAACAGAGGATTAGCACTTTAAGGCTTCTAAAACAAAACACGCAGACATTACCGGAAGAGAACTGCCGCTTCACCATAGACAGACGATATCCAGAGCCAAGCAACTCAAACTCAAGCCCTGAGAGGACGTTATCTGTCGAGGTGAACTGGACGTATGTCGATGATGGACACGTCGGACCGCTGATTAGGTCAAACTTGGCTTTAATCGAGCCCAGTGCAGAGTCAGCCTGCGAGGATGTTCCAAGCTCATTAAACTTCCACATTGCTTGCTTAGTTAACGAGTCCCTACAGTGCAAACAACAGCATGATGACATTCAAATTCAACACAAACTTTAAACAACTATACCATTTTCCCTCCGGCTGTGAGGTCATTGAGGAAACATTCCCGTCCACATTAGCAGTGAACTGCACATTCTTCAGTGACTGTACATTGCAGTGCGGGAACGCTGAGGCATTGAATTTGAAGTCAATCTTCAGATTGGTCGTCGTTTCCTCACACTTCCAGTAGCTGACCATCTGCAGTGGCGCATTCTTTGCCCCAGGCTCTGTTTTTAGTTGATATTTAACCATGTCCAAGTTGTAGTACCGAGCATTAGGTGACTGTTCAGACAGACGTCGCAGTGAAGCCTTCAAGTTGGCCATGTTCATTTCATATGTCACATAGTCCTCATTTGTGTCGATTCTTTCAATGAAAAAAAATACGTGATTAGGTTATACCCGAAATAAAAATACTAAACAACTTACTGCGTAACCAGCTCTTTAGATAAGATGATCCTGTCAAGGCGGTTTGTGTTCTTGAGCCGAAAAGATAACTGTTGGACGTATGGGTTATTTGAAAACAGCTAGAAAAATCGAGGTTAGCAAAGAAAAGAATCTGGTCATCAGATTAAGCCAACCTGAATGATGCCCGATGAGAAAGCTATTTTGATGCAACCAATAACGTTAATCTTACACAGATTCTCATCCGTCCCCTTGAAGCAGGCGCCAATTGACTCCTGAAAGGCAATGGCAATGGGCAGAGTGTCTGACATGCCAATGGTGAGGGGCGATGGATCACGAGAGGACAACGAGATTGGCGTCATGTGAAAGTCACTGGAGAGCGAGCTGATGCTCTCCGCGCGAGACATCATTCCATTGGATGAGGTACTGGAGGCGAATGATTTTGATAGTGAAGGCTTGTACACTGAAAAGGGCGTCGTTCCCATGATAGAGGTAGATGAGAGACTTTTGGCTAGGGATGAACTGGACAGATTGTTGAATGAGTTGGTGAATGCAGAGTCATGGTTTATTGACTTGGGCGGAAGTGGGAGGATGTTTGTCGGTTCACTAGTCAGAGGCAATGGCGGCGGTTTGGATTCATCAGCAACTTGCTCAACTATGGTGGTGGCGGTGGTGATTGATGTCGTGTTGGAAGTGGTCGATGCTGAGGAAGGGCTGAGGAGCAGATCACTGAAGGCTGCGTATCGGTCAGCGACAGCAGGCACAGCGGTGCCTAACTGAGGTTGTTGACTGGCAGACTGGAGGCCTTTTCCTGCCAACTCAGTTGCTGCTGAAGAGTCTTTTCGCCTCAGGTGTGAAAGGGGGTCATAGGAGCTGGCAAATGAGGAGGCGCCCGTAGTGCTGTTACCGCCAACGCCAGGCCTGGGCACTGGTCCATTGCTCGGTGGTGGTTGTGAGTGGAATATGTCAAACAGATCGTTCTCGTTTGGCTTGCCGAAAGCACTCTGACTTGCCGACACTGAACGCTTGATGGCTCCGTCATTGAGAATGGGGGATGGGTTTGCAGACAAATTAGCACGCCGACTCTGCAATATTTTAAATAAGTGTTAGAAAATGTTAAAAGTTTCCTTGTGAAATCAAAGCACTTACCAAAGTGTTACTAGGAGGTGCCAGTGTTAGGGCGCCCGCACTGGCAATCAACTGGTCAACACTTGCAGAGATCTGGGCACCATTCTTCAGTGGGTTTATCTTTACGAAAATCTTCTTCTCCTTTTCATCTTCCGACTCTGACTCGGAATCGGAACTCGAGTAGAAGCGCTCGTCATCTTTCTGTGCTTGGACTGGTCTCACTGTATATCCCTCAGCGTCAATCATGTAGTCATTGTTGTTGTTGTTGTTGATTGCATTGCTGTTGTTGTTGTTGGTTCCATTTCCAAACTGGTCTTGCAAGTCCATCTTTGACCCCGAGATTGAGCCGTTATTCGAGTCGTCGTCTTCCGAGTCTTTCTTGCTGTTTCTGTTTCTCCTACTCTCCTTGGTCTTTTTGCTTCTCAGGAACCCTAGACAAAAGAAAGTTTTAGTGTACTGTGCATGAGCAAATTAGATAGGAGGTGCAAATAACAAAAAATAGTTAAGTAAGCAAAACCAACTGAAATTAGGTGCGGGGAAACAAAAGAATCTAGACATGCTAAGATTAATGTATGCGTGAGCGTGGTAAACGAAAATGTGTGCAAAATGTAAAGTACTGCAGCAAACAACAAGCAACACTACAAAATGAGGTGATAGCAATGGGTAAATGAAGCAAACTAAAAACTACAAAATAAAAATAAAGTAATGAAAAAATGTGGAGTGAATGGAAATGTCAAAGGAAACCTAATTACATTTGGCCGACCTAACGCGTGTGCTATCCACACGAACGTCAGGAAAGCTTTGGTGGTGATCTTTCTGCGCATCATTAGCAGCAGCGACACTGCTCATCAAATTGCCCTCGTCACAATTGAACGTGCTGCTCGATTGATGATGAGGAGCAGTACTGTCAGCAACGGCGGCGGTAGTGCCAGCACCAGCACCGGCAGTCACTGCACCAGTAAACTGACTATAGCTTGAATAGAAACACTCGGCAGTATCGTTCCTCGAATGACTAGTATCACCACCACCACCACCATCATCATCATCATCATCATCAACATCATCGTCAACATAAAACTGCTCCCTGGTGCTTCCTGCTCAATAGAGAAAAAACAATGGTCAATGGTCACTTCGGAGGAAAAAGAGAAGAAGACGGCAGTTAGATTACGGAGGCAGGGCTTGCTGTGAAGCCCAGGTCTCCGAATCAAACCGCAGCAGAAGGAAGCAGATGGCTGGCAATATTACCAAATGTGGTCACCCTGTGGTCAATGGAAACCGATTTACAGGTAGAGAGAGATGAGAAGACTGTGGAAGCAGTACAAGCAGGGACATGGGAAATGATAGCATTAGCCTGAGCGGTATAAGACGGAGGACCGCGGCGGTGGGTGAACGCTCGGTGGTTAGCACCACTACCACTACCACCTGTCCACGCTGACGAGCCCCCAGCGGAGGAGGAAGAGGAGGGCGTGTTAGAGGAAGTGAACAGATCCATTAGAGACAAGGCATAACGCGACGAGTAGGCACTGCGCTTTTGTTTCAGCGTATTTGGTTTGCTCAATTCATAAGCATTGGTCGAGTGTTTGGCGGCGGCGTGCCGGTGAGCGTGCCGGTGTAACAAGGTCGAATTGAAAGTTGCTTTACCTTCCTTCCGCAGAGTGCTACTGCTAGTGCTGCTACTGGTGCTGGGTAGGCCGGCACCAAAGGCCAGCGAGGAGGAGGAGGAGGTGGAGGCTAGGTGGTGCACTCCCAGACCCACCCCTCCACTCGAGTCCATGCTGGGGATGGCAAAGTCGTGGGCGCTTTGATGCCCGCCAGGCTGAGGTGTCATCAGTTGGTCGAGGTTGAAGAGATCAACCGCCGATGTGTAGCCAGAGGAGTTGGCTGGCTTGCTGGAGAGCGAGCTCGTCGAAACGCTGAGCTGAGGCATGTTGTTCAGTTGCTGAAAGTTGCTCGGGTTCGCTTCTTCAAATTGAATGTCCGCTGAAAGCAGTTGGGATGTTATAGAAATGTAAATTCAATCAACAACAAAAACTAGTATCACCGTACCTGGCTTGGCAGCGCCCACTCCTTTAGACTTGATGAACATTTCCAGTAGTCGATCGGAGGTCATTTCCTTGCAGTTGTTCTGAAACTCCTTGTGAACTTGACCGATTAACGTGTGACCGCTTTCCAAAATTTGAAAGTAACTGGCCAGGTACTCCTTCATCTGTCGGAGGTGATCCTCCTCCAACTTTTGAAAGTTCTGTGCAGTAAAAATTGTGAGTTTTTGAAAATTATTTTTTAAGTGCTAAACTCTACCTTGCAGGAGATGCGAAACTTTTTCTCGTAATCATCTTTGTTTTTTCTATATTTTTCAATGAGAGTTTTGTATTCGCCACCTAAAAAAGTATCGATTAAGATATTTAAAAAGTCTCATCTTTCCACTACTCACAAGCTTTATTGACTCGAATTTCTGCTTTTTCAATGTCCTTTTGAGATGCATTTTCACGTTTTAGTCGCTCAACTTCTACCGTTTTTGCATAGTAAAACTCTTTTGCCTGTAGAAAAAGCATTTATTAAACTTCCATTCAGCAAAGGTCAAAGTTGTTTACTTTGTTCAAAGCGGCAATTGTTTCTTTTAGCTCATTGATCGCTTCAATTGTTGGATTTTCCTCCGTTTTGATCTGCTTTTGTTTTTTGTGGTGATCTTCGCAGTACTTTGTGACCTCTTTTATTAGCTGGTTAAGCCGTTGAAGTGTTTGCATATGTAGTGATGATAGCTTTTCAGTTGATGATTTAAGTATCGTCCACAATGGCTGAAATGTGCTGTGTAACGTAAAAATGCGGAAATTAGTTGGCGGTTGTTTGAATTACTGAATTACTACTACGTACCCAAATTGTGCATTGCTTGTTTTTCGAGAAAGCTTTATCAGAAGATTAAAGTTGTATTCTTCAATACCCGTTCTGTAGATCACATGATGGCAAAATTAGCATCGGAGAAACACTAGGGTGTTTCTGCATTGCACTGTACAAGTGCAAGGTGCAATGTTTACACTGGCTCTAGAGCGAGCACTCACCTTATTCGAAGAAAATCGGCAAGCTCTTTAGCCGACGTGGAACCGCATTTTAGATTCTGATAGAGAATATCAAATCCATTTTGCTTGTCGCTCTGAAATAAGACGTGATGAAAGTCAGTTAAGCAAGCACTTAATTAATTGGTAAACAAACCCAAAAGTGCTCTTGAAAATCCACCGTCATTTTGGTGCCGTGCAGCAATTGTGACCGTCAGTTTGAGGTTAAAAGTTGAAGACTGACACTATCAGCTGCGTCGATAAAAGCTNACCGCATTTTAGATTCTGATAGAGAATATCAAATCCATTTTGCTTGTCGCCCTGAAATAAGGTGTGATGAAAGTCAGTTAAGCAAGCACTTAATTAATTGGTAAACAAACCCAAAAGTGCTCTTGAAAATCCACCGTCATTTTGGTGCCGTGCAGCAATTGTGACCGTCAGTTTGAGGTTAAAAGTTGAAGACTGACACTATCAGCTGCGTCGATAAAAGCTGCAATGTCGCTGATGATAAGGGATTGAGCCGAGGAGAGCACTATGGAAAATTGCAGAGTGACAACAACAACATCAGTGCACCAGCTGGTGTAGAGACTCAGTTTAGCAGCAGCAGCTTCAAATTCTAAGTTGGCGAAGGCCACGACAACAGTTGAATGCGGCGTTGAGTGGGGGCATTACCAGGACAATTGAATGGTGATGATGGCGAGGAGGAGGAGAAGGGCGGCGATAGGAAACTGGTAGAGCTGGGACGAGAGATTAATGGTCCACTTGATTAATGCATACACACACAGAGTGGTGCAAATGCAAACACACTGGTGCAACTTTGGGTGCCACTGGCAATCGGCGGCTGTCAGTGCATGGGCAAATGATCGCCGATGAAGTTGCTGCCTCTGCTGCTGGTGCACGGCCCAGTGCCGGCTATCTGCCTGACGCCCACCTCGTCTTTGACATCTCAGAAGTTCTTCGTGGCTGTGTTTGCTGAAGAAGCAGTACAGGCGCACTCAGGTAGATTTCAAGTAGCGGATTCCGGCGGCGGTGGTGGTGGTGGTCACTCGTCCTATGCACTTCAGCTGTTTTGTGCTGTTGTCAATGTGTGCCTGTCTCTCAGTGTGTGTTTCAGTGTTTCTGTGCTCGGTGCTGCAGTGCAGTGCGGCGCTGCCATCGCCGTTACCTTTTTTCTGCCTTTCTTCTTTCTTTTCGCAATGCACACACATTCTCCCCAACTAATGGGGTCGATGATTGGCTCGAGAGCTCCTTAACTTTGCCAGCGTCTCGGTTCGTTTAGTCGCCTAACAGTCGGAGACGGCGATAAGTGGCAATGGCAGTGGTTGGTGATTCATCAGCAGAGCTAACGGGTTTATCACAAGAGAGCAAACTGGTGATGGCGCAATAAATTAGTAATTTGCCTACAAAATCTTGAGGACACTCAACCTAAAGCACCTGAAATAAGGCTGCAACCAAAATTCGAGCGGATTTTTTTAAGCAAACTGGCTACTTTATCCAGATATGCGTGTTGACTGATTGGAATTGCTAATTACTTCTGCGCCAGTCAGGTTAATGCTGATAAAACTCGGACTACCTAAAAAAGCGCGCGACGATGCGGGCACTTTGGTACAGAAACAAATTAATTTTGCTATAAATAGAACCGTTCCATGGGCAGCGACGGCAGCAATTCAGACTGGACTGGCCAGCATTGTCGTTTGAGCTGGCGAGTCTGCACATCATTTGTTCCTGATCAATTTCTGCTTAAACCATGGCCTCCCTAGCGACTCAACTGATCACCGTGTCCATCATTGCCCTGCAGCGACAGTTGACGCACAACAATGCGGCGAATCGTGAGCAGTGGAACACCAACTACGACTACATTGTCGTCGGTGCCGGAAGTGCCGGTGCCATTGTCGCCGCACGACTGACGGAAGACCCGAACATCAGTGTTCTGTTGCTGGAGGCGGGTGGACCGGCCACGGTGATCTCCGATATGCCTGCAGAGGCCTGGAATGGAATGACCGGCGAGAACGACTGGGGCTACCTGACAGTGCCGCAGAGGAATGCGGGTAGGCATTGAAAGATTAATGATAAACTCTTTTGCAATTTGCATTATGTTATCAGTGCTCTAAAATGCTAATCACCCTCACCAGGCTGGGCCTACATCAACAACAGGATCGTCTACCCGCGTGGCAAGGTGATGGGCGGCTCGTCGACGACCAACTACGCCATCTACAACCGCGGCAACCGCCTCGATTTTGACAACTGGGCCAACTACTACGGCCTGACGGAGTGGTCCTACCAGAACGTGTTGCCGTACTTTCTGCGCAGTGAACACAACTACAATGACAAATACGTGCGAAACAGTCCGCAGACGCACTCCACCACAGGGCCGATGGCCATCTCCAGTCCGCCCCATCCTGATCCCATTCTGCTGCACTACATGGACGCCTGGAACAACGCCGGCGTGCCCTACACTGACTTTAACGGGCCTAATCAGCCGGGAACCAGTGAGTTTTCGAGATAACTTTTTGGTTTCTAATCTATTTTTTGCAGCTCTCATCCAACAGGCCATCTCCCCAAACAACTGGACACGATCCTCCACCACAAACGCCTTCATTGAGCCGATCATTACCAGTCGGGCCAATAGCCTGCACGTAGTCACACGGGCTCACGTCACCCGATTGCTGTTCAACAACAACACCGCCAACGGTCTACAGGCGGCGGGAGTGGAGTTTGTGCGTCGAGGACAGACGTACAGCGTGTACGCCAGACGAGAGGTGATCCTCTCCGCAGGTAAAAAAAATATATGAACTAGTTTACTTTCTGCTATTCAAAGTTTTGCGTTTTATCAGGTGCCACCAACACTCCACAGATCCTCATTCTCTCTGGCATTGGACCGAGAAGCCACCTGCAGGATCTGGGTATTCCCGTTCAAGTGGATCTGCCCGTTGGTGAGAACCTGCAGGACCACATTCTCCTGCCGACTGACTACCTGGTAAACAATGCCAGTGACATTCAGTACTCGCGCAACATTGACGGCATCCTCACCGTGCAAAACCTCTACAACTACTACGTCAACAATGAGGGGCCGATCATTCAGCTGCCAGTGGTGCTCACCTACCACTCCACACGCGGCAATGACAACCCCGCCTGGCCGGACAGTGTCATGGCCACGCTGACCGACCAGATCGGCCCTGAGGTGCTCGCCCTCATTCCCGGCATGAACAACCAGCCGCAGTGGACCGAGTACTACACTCCTCTGCTCAATGACCAGCGCCACTTTTACGTCTACTACGCGATTTACCGCCCTCGCAGCCGGGGCACCGTCCGTCTGCAGTCTCGAAATCCCTTTGACGCGCCGCTGATTGACCCGGCCTACTTCACTGACCCGTACGATCTGGCGGTGGCGGTGGACGTGCTCTCCGCAGGCATGTCCATGGCTGAGGGCGACTATTTTCGCCGTTATGGCCGCATCTACGATCGCCCACTGCCTGGCTGTGCGCCGTGCACTGACGGCCGACCGTACTACCAGTGCTACACCTACCTCGCCTGTGTTGCCAGGGTAAGCTGAGCTGATGAAGTGACCTTGTTGATTGACCTTCCTTGTTTTGCCCTGCCCTTGTACCAGACGATCACCACCACCAGCTACCACCCGACGTGCACGTGTCGCATGGGCAACAGCACCGACCTGCAGAATGGCCGAGCGGTGGTGGACAGCCACCTGCGAGTGCGAGGCGTGGCCAACCTGCGGGTAATCGATGCCTCCATTATGCCGAAAATCAACAATGCCAATACCAACGCGGCGGTGATGATGATCGGCGAGAAGGGCGCCGACCTATTAAGGCAAATGGCAAGTTGAAGCGACATTAGAGTGTTTATTGAAAAAAATTTTGGGTTAATTTGA